AAATGTTTTAGTTATTTTATTAGCTAGAATAGGGACTTTAAAAATTGGATAATGGGATATTGTTATACAGTACTTCCCTTTAACACACTAGATGATAAAATGTTACACCTTCCTAGATTGAAAGTTTTACTGAAACAAAAATATGAGATATTAGAATGAGATTTAGATGTGAATGTTCTGTAAATTAGGTTTTTAAAGTTTCCAGACCCTAAATCTGTTTGTTTAATAATATTACAATAGCCTCAGCCATATTAGTGGTGCCTGCCTTCCTTCCTTCCTTCCACCTGGTGCCAAAATGAGCCACTGTGGGTGCCAATTGAGGTTCTTTGGGAAGGGCATTCCATAAATGAGGTGCCACCACTGAAAAGGCAAGATAAAGGGGCTTGGGAGTGTTCATGTTTCCTTGGACACCCTGTGACTAAGGAAGCTCCCCCAAAAAGCCCTTGAAGGGCTATAAGATGTTCTCCACCCACCAGATTTTCCCCCACCCCATGGATCCACCTGTCCTAGGTTGACCTGAGACTACTAATTACTCTTTCTAACCATCTTTTGCCTTAAGGAACCTCATTGGTCTAACTTGAAGATTTCCATCCAGCAAATGATCCCAATCCACATTCTACATATTCCATATTCTGCAAGATAGTCTTCTGCTTCTCCCTTCCATAGTGACCCAGGCTGCCTTCCTCCTGATTGGCTGGCTGGGAAGGGGACAGTCCAGGCAGGTCTTCCTCAGCCAGACTTTCCTATTAAAAGTGAGAGAGAGGATTTTAATTTCCCCTTTATCTCTGAGACATCCTATCAACTGCAGCACTCGATTTGGGATTTTATCAATAATTTCTCCCAGTCTTTTTCATTCCAAGTTTACTCCATCCCATCCCTTAAAGATTTCAGTTTTTTAGAAGCATTTTCCCCTTTAACAAGCTAATTGGATAAATAATAATTAATTGGGAATCTGTCCCATGTATGTTTCTTTCTCCCCAGGTTTTCCCAATATCTTTTCGCTCAGCAGGGTGCTTGGATCAATCATTGATCGGAGGAGGCATCCCAAGAATGTTTCTTTCTCCCCAGTTTTTAAAAACTCCCCCCCCCTTTAACAGGATGCTGGTGTGGGAAGAAAATCTGGTCCGGATTTCAGCGGGGAAAGGGAAAAACTCAAATGCTGGTGCCATCTGAAGAGGAGGAAGTTTTATTTCCAAGAGTCAGAGCCCATGGAAGGTAGACTGCAAAAGATGAAATATTCTAGCAACAACATTTATATTATTCTAAATTCATTTCTTAATTGGTTTTCCTTGTTCATTTTTTAACCCAGAAAAAGAGCTGATTAAATCAAGCGATGATTGAATCTTTTCCTTTATAATTAAGTTTACCTAGTGAAAATTAAGTTTTGTGTGTTTGCTTTTTTGTTTTTGTAATTTAAAAGATGTATTTAATTATCATGTTCGCTTGTGAATTTAAAAGTTTTTCTTTCTATTATGGCTTGTCGGCTTTCCCCCCTCCTCTCTAATGAGGCTCCTGTCAGCTATTGATAACTTTATTAGAGCTTAGGTCAATATTTCTTATACAACAGTTCTAATACATTCCATACAGATTTATAGATCCTTCTCACACTGGGATCAGTTGTATTTGATCGGGGCTCCATCCCGTGGATGTTTGCTTCTCTCCAATTTGTTCTTTTTAAAATACTGTCGTTCTCCTTTAAGAAGCCACCGAAGCTGACCGCAATCACAGCCATAATTCATCTCGGTTTCCCGTCTGGACAGAGCCCAAAGGCGGTCACCTGATTTGCAAGAAGAGGTGCGAAATTAACTTTCTCTTTCCTTATCCCGGCGGAGGAGGCAGCGATGGCGGCCGCAGCGTCCATGGAGGATTTC